AATGGCACACTTAAGTCCTCGAGTAAATTTAGACTGCAGTGTTGGCATTGAACTTCAAGCTTTAATATCATGGTATTTGGCATTGAAATATTTGACCTCTGTATTTCACATTTTGGCCATTTTATCAAAAGTCAAGATTGTAAAATAAAAACTAGTGCAAAAACTGACTGATCTGAAATGAATTAAAAAGCAAACATAGCTGTTTCTCAAAATGAAGACTTGCTGCTTATTGATTATTATAAAGTGTATATATAGTAGGAGTATATTTGAGTTTCAAATTTTCACTGAGACAAGACATTTAAAGACCTGAGAAACTGGACAATTTCACTATTGGACATTTTCTAAACTAGAAAAATCATTAGTTGCAGCCCTAAAGGGGCCTATAATGCACCAATGGATGTTGACTAAGTCTCAGAGAACTAATTATTTAAATGTAGAGCCTTAAAACTCAAATGAAGAACAGGCTGTTCAGAAAAAGCAAATCTCAAGAATCAGCCACTTGCCCTTCATGGGAAAACGGGTCATTTAACAGTATTTATCACTTTCACAGAGAATATTTGGATTGACATGAAATCAATAGAGTGTGAAGATGTGGATGCTACGGATTGGGAGGCAAAATATTTGCTTTTCTCTTGTTTTCATCTGCAGATCCAAGCTGTATGCCAGGATCTTCTATTACTGATTGTATTTATTTAGTTTGATCTCTCAGAAACCCCTAACTTGAAATTGTTAATAACCTTCAAGAAAGGTGCACTGAATGCCATGTTCTGTATGAAACAGAATTTCAATATACTATTTATAACTTTCATCTCATCAGGCTGCATGTGTGTCAGTGGTGCTTCAGGGATCAACATTTTCACTAAAACCGATTCTACTACAAAGTTAACACATTATTTAAGGGTTGAATATGTTGGCATTTCTGTATTTCTCAGTTTCCGTCTAAAGAGATGAATCCCTCAGTGTTTTAGAAATGGGGGAGGGAGGGCTCAAAATCAATATCTTCTAAGGAGAGCCCAGTGTAATATGCAATAAAATCTTAAACATCCACATACAGCTATGATTTGTACCTGCCCTTACAGTTTCAGAGAAATGTAGAAGACAAAAATTAAGCATTTACTTTGTTGCATTTCTTATATTTAAAACAAATACTTATGTCAGAAACACTTTTATGTACATGTACTGTACAGCTCATATACTGTACATGAACATATCTGCTTTTTGTTTTGTCAGCCTTGAACAAACTGCTTCACTGGCACTGTTGTGTGCTGAATGTAGTCATTAATATTTTATATGTATTGTCTATATCTGTATGTTGCTGTGTGTACTGTATATTATAGGTTTGTACTGGTTGTGAAAACAAATTTCTCTCTAAACAATCCATTGTGAACTTATCACAGTTGTGCTTCATGTCACTGTTAAAATTTGAAAAACAACACTGTATCTGTGCCACAAAGATTTTATATCATGTCAACTGTGAATTAATTGAATATGGATGGAAAAAAACAGCTTATTTTTGTCAAAAACAAAACAACAAGGCTCAATCAAGGAGGCCTGAAGGTTTTTTAATGCAGGACTTTGTTGCCCTCTACTGGCTTAACATCCATATGACCAGCAGGCATGAAGCAGCTGGAGAGTGGGGGAAAAAAAGAGCATCTACTGTGCACCTAAGTGTCTTTATGTCAGCTGTGCACTGAAAATATGAATAAATGATATGGGCTCACCTTTAGATGACCTTTTAACACTAGTAACATCACAAGAAGACTAAATGACAAAAACAGTTCAGACTTTTTCCTGTGCAGCCTTGCTCATATACACAAACTTTCTGTTTCACATTTTTATTGCACATAATTCTAAAGGATCTAAAGCGACTCAATTTTAATATATACCATGGTATATATTTTCTTTCTAATTTGTAATCTATTTGCATTATTATAAGTGGAACCAGCAAGCCGTTATCAAACCACATTACACACTGTGGTGGGAAAAGTGCGTTTAAATAAACATAACTGTATTTATTTACTGTTCATTTTATATATTTGTGTGCTCTTTGTCCTCTCTGAACTAATACTGCTGCTGCTGCATAAATGTACCCATGTGGATCAATATTTCTCCATCTTATCCAGTCTTAAATTCAGTTAGGTGACAGCTCTTGCCTCTGATTACATTCTCACAAAGCCTTTCTGTGAGTGTCATTTCTACTTGAAGCACAAACAAAGGTCATAACAGTCAATTAACTGGACAATTTAAACCCCTTCACAGTTTACCTACACCGATGTTAGGAGGGAAGATTATTTACTGTGTGTTATTTCATTTTAAAGTGAAAACACCACCATGACCATGTTTCTTCAATCAGTTGGTCAAAAGGCCACCTTTTGTGAATGGAAAACCCCCATCCATTTTAACCCTGTAGTATCTTTATAACTCATCATGGAGTGGAAGCCTAACCATGCTGTCTTCAGGAATAGAAACTTTACTTACTTACTTTACTTTTGCTCCACAGTATTATTTTTTTTATGCTGTACATATGTTATTTACATTTTTCACAACTAAATATTTTGTTTTTGTTACCATATTCATTCTGTATACCATGTTCTTCTGCTGCTTTTATGTTTTGAAGATAACTGAAGATAATTTTCTACTCTGTTGGACAATAAAGTTGTACTCTATTCTAACTATTTTTATAATACTAGTTTTGTGTGTGTGAAAGGTTCTAATTTACCATATTTCTTGTGGCTCTCAACTTGCAACATTTAAGGTGGCATCACAAAGAGAGACTCATACTGCCCCTAAGCTTACTGGGCCCTGGAAACATAGGAATGACTTTGTTGTGACCAGTTGTGGACCTGAAAGAAACAAGTAACCTTTGATCCAAATACAGGTCAAGCCAATGGTCAGTTGTCCTCACCAAGTAAAGCAGCTCCCACTTCCTGCCATTCATCACCAGGTGGGTCACAGACGTGTGGATGAAAATGTTCCTTTTGTAAGTTGTTATATGCTTCCAAGATTTGATGTAGGCTCTTTCTTTGTCTAATTGTAGTAGAACTTTAAATATGTTGTGATGTCTTGCAAAGGTCTGACATCATTTTGGTGCAGGTGTTGAGGACAATCCTAAACATTAGAGAAGTCTCTGTGAGGAAAAGTAAAAAAGCAGCACTTGCCCCTCCCTCTTTGCCACCACCGAGATGTCCTCGAGCAAAGCCCTGAACTGCTAAAGCAGAGCCGCTTAGTGGCTGTCAGATCGGGGTTGTACTGGGCAGCATCCAGTCTGATTATTACCTTTTATTTAATCAGGACGTCTTAAAGGTATGACGATCTCTCTTGCAAGACATGCCTGAGAACAGCAGAAACATGAACAGAGATAAGACACACAAAAGTAAAGTAGCAGTAACATTTAAGAAAATGTTGAAAATTTATGGAAATTGCCCCTTTTAGAATCATTTATTAGGTCATAATTATTGATGCATTCCTTTCTATAATGCCTAGTTTAATCTATAATAATAAAGTTAAGTAGTTGATCTATTTTGTATTCATGATCTGAATCTGTAAAGTAAGTAAACTTGTCAAATAAATGTAGCAGAGTAAAACATACAATAGTTGCCTCTGAAATGTAGCAGAGTATAAAGAAGCAGAAAATGGAAAAACTCAAGTACAAGTACCTTAAAATTATAAAGTAGTTGAGTAAATGTACTTTGTTTCTTTCCACCACTGCCAGTCACACACAAGCACATGAAAACAGAATCAGAAACAATCTCAGTTATCTCTGAAAAGGTCCAAAATTTTAAATTCATCCAATGGGATGGTGCAAAATACTGGGAGGCTGTCTTTCCAAGTTCAGTATTTGGGGGATATCAAAACTTAGCCAGTCCTGGGATTTGATCTCTTATGAGCAGTAGCTTTAAATTGAAATGTCATATATTGAGGCAGCTTAATACAAAGAATTCAATATTTATATCCTGTAATGAACTGCAGGGCACATTGGCAAACTATATCAAATTGTTTTCAAGTGAAATAAGCAGCATGAGAGAAATATATCTTCTTTTAAGTGAACTGAGTATCATCAAGGTACACCAAAACATTTTTATTTATTTAGTTTTGCTTTGTCATTATGTACTTTCATTTTTATACCTGCCTTTCTTCTATGTTGTGCATTTCTTTGTATTGCTTGTGTAACCCTTTGTTGCAACTGACAGTCAAAAAAAGACATGGACAGTCAAGGCTTATAACAACTTAACTATCTGTATTTAGCCTTGGTATATTCAAACAAGGTATTTCCATAGTAAGTGATGAGGGGTTTTTTGGAAAAGAAATCTAAACTCTCAGTGAAACTATATGAATAAATAAAGGTTTAAAAAAACATTCTACATATTACCTGTACTGAAATGACTACATTAGAAATCACAATAATAATAATGATAATAATAAAAATAATAATAATAATGATAATAAAATATTGTCTGTCTATATAGTCTATATTGTCTTATGGTCTAGAAAAACACAAGTTATTGATTGATTCTTTATTGATCTCTGAATGGACAGAAATAAGCATAAAATTAGCATATAAAATAAAACAAAAGACAAGGCAAGTAGTACATACAGTGTTGTAGTTGTGCAATTCTGTCTCAAGTGAAGTAACAATCTTATATTAGTATTTGTTTTAAATATTGTGGAGTATATCCCACATTGCACTAGGCAGAAACTATTTGGTTACTTTAAGTATTTCTTTCCATTATAACCTCTGATGATTTATGACTGCAGGCATCAACTTTAAAAGTACAAAATATATTTTGTCCATCCAGAAAATATTAAGAAAATAATTCAAATGATGTAGAGAGCTTCAATACTTAAATTGACCAGCTTCTATGTAGTTTCTATCTATCGACACGTGATTTTTTATTTTTGCGGTCTGTACTTTGATGTGGAGCACGTGAGCAGACCAAGGCCTTCGAGGCACCGTCATTCGCAGAGCGCACGTTCACTAAATTGAGACTAATTAGCTGGCTAGCAGACTTCATAAATATGACCTTTTATTGCAGACGACGGTTATTATTGTGACGTTACTCACAGTTTGTAAGTCCACATCATGGCGTTTTCCCTGGTGAGTCAAATAACGAAATTAAAGTGGAGAATTAAATTTGTTTGGGCCACGTCTTAACGTTATCATTTGACCTTTTGTGTGCCATGAAACTACCACCGACGTGTCTTTTAGACTTTAACACTTTTATTCCTACCTAAAATAACTAACTTCCATGGCTTTCACTCTACTACGTGTGTCCAAACCTTGAGTTAACCTTGTAGCATGAAGGCAATATTAATTCCTCCTCTTGTGGTGTCTTCTTGCAGAGAAACGATCCTCGCAGGCCGGACAGCCCGGACCCCGAGTCTCCGGCCCTGTCCACCTGCAGCAACGCGGACATCTTTCGCAGGATGAACACCATGTTGGGCAACGCTCTGGATTTCACCGGTGTGTGCACCACGCCTAACAACAACAACAACACCACCAACAAGGGAAAGCCAGATCTGCTGTGTGGTAAAGTTTCATTTATGTTGTACTCTGCAGCAGGTGGACTAGCAACAGATTGTGGCTCCAGTCAAGGTTTTAGAAATACTGAAATTGAGTCGAGTGACCTGTACTGAAGGTTTGCTTAGACCACGAAAACAGTCTGTAAGGCTTTCTTATGTTTTCTTTAGTGCAGAATTAAAGACTGCACATAGGGATTACATGATGTCTCGAGGCCACACTGCTGGAACTGTTTTTTTTTTTTTCTGTTTTTACCGAAGTTGACCAATAAACTGAGCTGTCTATTGTGTCTTAGGCCTAATCATTTAGTCTATAAAATGTCTGAAAGCATCGCACAATTTCTCAGAAGCGCCAAGTGATGTCATAAGATTACTTGTCTTTGTCTGACCAATGGTCCCAAAAGTAAAGAGATTTGAACAAATAAAAGCAGCGAGTCCTCACATTTGAGAATATCTAAATACATGAATCTTCCTGGAAATGCCCATCATGTCTAAGTTTCAGTTGTATGTGAATGTAAATTCTTCCCAGTTTCCTACAAACTTCAAATTCCCAGAACAAATACAGAAGACATGACTTCTTCATCTTAAGTGGTGGCTGCGGCCCTGAGTCTGATGTTGGATTCTCCTGCTGCTGTTCTGTGGTTAGCATTTTTGTTCTAGCTATGCATTTAGACAGAAACCCATAGTGTTTCTGAATGCAAGGTACAATACTACTTTTAAAAAAAAAAGGCAAAGTTGCATCCTTGTCTAAGGAGCCCCTTTCACTTTCTCACCCATCTGTTAAACCTCCTTCACCTTGTAATTATGATTTTGGGTGCCAGCAGCTGATTCATGCTGCATGGCTGATCTGCAGCATTGCAGCACTTCTAAAGTGTTGTGTGTTTGGGGTTTTTTTTTGTCCCGTTCCCCCCCCCCCCCCCCCAAGAGTAAGATTTGCCAAGATTGAAGTTCAACACAGTGCCTGCATCCTTTGCTTGAATGGCCACACTTGTGACTTGCAGTTTTTTTTTTTCTCTTCTATGGAGGTGTGTATATACAAGGGATAAATATAAAGGTTTATACTGAGCTTGACATAAGTGCAACACTGTTTATATTTTTTAATTAATATGAAAGTGAATTGTATCTTGATGTAAACTGAGCTAAACTTCCGGTGTGGCCTCTCTGCCCCACCACCCCGCCTTGGTGTTGCTGAATCAGGACTGTAGCTGGCAGCTGGATGCTTTCCAGGCCTGGAGAAGGAAGGGAGGAGCTGGTGGTGCAGATCGAGCAGTCATCAACATCTGATTAGTCAGCTGCTTCTGCCACAGCGAGGCTCTGAATGCCTTTTTTCTTCACGGAGTGTGTGTGTGACAAAGCAGGAGACTACACCAACCAATGTGTCTTTTAAATCCAGCGTTGTGTTGAATTACTGAGCATCCTAAAGTCTGAAGTTCTCTTTTAAATAAAGTCTGCTGAGTCATTCGCTCCCATCTCCCCTGCTGCCTCCCACCATGCCGCTGTAGCTCTGCCCCTCGCCTCCCTCCCTTCCTGCCTCTGTCAGCTCGCTCAGGAAACGAGGCGAGACACAGTAAGCAGCAGTAACGGTGGCAGCAGTGGCGGCTGTCTTCCCACTGACTCGGAGACGTGCTGTGTCTACCAGAGGGGAGTACTTCTATCAACAAGCCAATAGCTCCGACAGGAATTTTTCATTACACAGTTGTTAGGCAAGGAAGCAGGGAGGTGGGGGAAAGCTGATGTCATTAGCAAGGGTGTGCGAGTGCATCAGCAGCCATGTCACATGCTGCTAGGTGGGTCAGTGATGCGGACAGAGATGCATGGCAGTTTCACCGAGCACAGAGGCAGCAGGTTAGCTCCCCCGTCAGCCAGGGTAGAGGGAGATGTGGTGATGAGGGAAGTTGTTTTATCTCTTCACGTAAACGGGTTTGTGTGACGAAACTCTTCATGCCCTGTTCTGAGTAACGCAGACTGAAACAACAGTTATTGGCTGTCTTAACACTTCCTCTCCCATCTCTTTTTCTACATCTCTGAACTGGATCTTGAACTGAAGAGTCGGAGCTGGCCGCGGTGGGCAGCAGGAGGATGCTCTTCCCCAACCGTGCTGGCATGCCCGGCTCCCACGAGATGCCACCATCCAGGGGCCCACCGGGTGTCACAGACCTGGGCCTGGGCCTCCAGTCTCTTCGGCTGTCTGGCTGGGACAGACCCTGGAGCAGCCAGGAGTCAGACGCACTCACCTCCCCTTCCCAGGCTCAGACTAGCTCACCTTCCAGTAAGTACCGAATGTCCTGTTTACCTGAATACTTTTAGGGATAATGGCAAAACCTGCAGCTTGGTCTCCTGTTTGTACCACATCACAAAATTTGTCAGTGTGGCTGGTAGTGGTTGAGTTTATTAGCTCTCATGTCCCCAATTTAGACTTTACTGTATAGATTGTAACATCTGAGTTTGTGACTTGATTTGTAACCCTCATTTATATTTATGTGATGGTTGGTCATTATCAGCAGTCTGTGTGGGAACGGGCTGTAGCGTCGCTAGGGAGGATGATGTGGCAGTTTTGCTTTGCTGCATCTCTGGCAATCGAGCGAGCACAAACAACTCAGTGAAGCTACTTTTCTTTCCCCAAACCTATAGGATGTAAGCAAAAAAGAAGTTAAGTGGGGTTTTTTTCTTAAGTATATTACCTGTTGATCAAACTGATGCTAGGATGTTTTTTTTTGTTTTGTTTTTTTCAGGCTGAGTGCTTGGGTTTGGTTGGGATACAAACCAGAAAACTGGACTAACAGTCACACTAGGTTGCTTTTACTCTTGTAAAGCACTTTGTGATCTTGATCTATGAAAGGTGCTATATTAAATTAACTTACTAATTAACATAAATATATATACAGAGAATTTTGGGCTGTCAGACAGTGAGAAGAGCTTCTGTCTTTGGAAAGGTACCAGTGACTAACGGTGCCCCACTTGTCCTGACCCATTTGTAGTAGTGTAGTTTTATTGCTGTATGTCTAGACTGAACTGGCATTACTTCATTTAGAGCTTTCTAAACTGGGCCTGCAACAAAGTGGGACAGAGCTTCGAATGCGGCCTACCACTGAATAAATAGAGCCTCATGTTCACTGTAACAGGCCGCGCAGGACACATCTGTCACAGTTGGAAGCTTCATTATCAAGAGGAAGGAAGATGCTGGTTAATACTTAAGGAATTGCTGATTAGTAGTCAGTGAACTTTGTGAATTTCCTTTAGGAAAGGTGTCAGATGAATTGGCTTCCAGTCCTTTTGCTAAAAGGAAAGGAGTGTACAAGATAGTGTTTCAGATTAGGAGCAAGTTACAAACAAATGTAAAATTGAAAATGCTTTAAACTTTGACTCAGGCATTTTGGGTTGGTTTTGGCAGCCTGCTTGCACGCAGGTATCCACTTCCATATGCACATTTTGGACAATTTGCATTGCAGCGCTTCAGTTCTCAATCAACGTGGATCTGTAGATTCAGCACACAAACAGAACTTTCTTTAGTTTGGATGAGCAAAGAAAAATACAAATTTTTAGAAACTTGAAGTTGCAATTCAGCATGTCTCCTGACAAATCGATATGGCTCTGTAGATTCAGCACATGCATCCCATTTTCTTCAGTTTGCTCATCCACTTGCACAAAACAGACCTGGTCAAACATGGTAAGTGCTAATCTCACCAGGTCTAATTGTACAGATCACTGTGAAGTGTCTGAGTCATCTCAAGACTGTAAATGTTGTCCTTTCTGCAGTGCTAGGTATACTGAACAGTCCCTTCAGTAGCATCCTTGGGAAGCCCCCTGGCTACCTACCCCCTGAGTCCATGAGCATGACGGCTGACTTCTTGGAGAAGTTCCCTAGCATGGCTCGCATGGCAAACCGTCTGGACTCGGGCTCCTTTTTGGACTCTCGATCCAGCAGTCCTGAAGACTCTGAGACCAGTGGCTTTAGTTCTGGCTCTGACCACCTGTGTGACATGCTGGTAAGACATTTTACTTATTCTGTAATGTCTTATGTGTTGGGTTGTTAACCACCAGTCAGGTGGGGAATATCTGTCTCAAACCTTAAGTTGGCTACACACTGTGGCATTTTTACTTTTAACAGCCACATAGTCTGATTAGAGAGCCAGGTCACAATATGCTGATTTGGAGGTACCAGAAATGATCAAGCTTTTGAGAGAGGCCTATATGCTAAACTCAGAGCCTAAAGGTGGATGCTTGGGCTTATAAAATGCTATACAAACGGCAGCAGTGGTGGTAGCAGCAAGTGTCAGCATAGCTTTCAGGGGAGCAGTGCGGCAGCAGGCCTGCAGCAAAAGTGTAAACATGGCACCAATGGCTTCTGCGCACCATGATTGTAAAGGTTTAATACTATGTTGCAGTGAGGGGAGTAAACTGAATATGTACAGATTAAACTAGCTCACAGGAAGGACTGTATTTATGGAATTAGTGCTGTGGAAATGTATTTTTGCTGGTCTTTGTTTATTCACACTGTCTTTATGTCTTAATCATCAATCATGTCTAAGGTACAATTGTCTGGACTTGTCTTTCTCTACAGTCAACTTTGCGGATTTCCCCTCCCCTGCCTTATCTCACATCAAACATTCAGAAGGATCTACTGCGATTGGGCTCCCGCCTGGACCCCCAGGACTCCAGCTCTCCTCTGACGCCACCATCCAGTGCCAGCCCTGCCTCCTCAGTCATTTCCCGCCGCTGGCGTACCGGTTCTCCATGGCCTGGTACTGACATGCTAGACCACTCAGATGATGTGTTCAGTATTGAGAGGGAGGCCCGTCTGCACAGACAAGCTGCAGGTAAACTGAAAACACTTCATCAGATTTTCACTGTTGTAGGCATTTTGACTGTCCTGTAGTTCTGCATTAATAGTATACATGGTAGTTATGGTGGCTTTGTGGATAGAAGTGACCCTTTTTTTTTTTTTTCTGGATTCATCAGCTGTGAATGAGGCTACATTTACCTGGAGTGGTCAGTTGCCTCCCAGAAACAACAAGGATCCCCTGTACTCCTGCAAGGTCTTTCTTGGTGGCGTGCCATGGGACATCACAGAAGGTAACTGCTGCTTTAATTTTGCAGTGCAGATCCCCCCATCTAGAAGTATGGATTTAGTGCCTAAATCCATACTTCCATAGTTCCAACGGTTCCAACGGTTTTCACATCAAAGATGTGCTGCATTTCTGTACATCTTTGCATCAAAATAAGACTGGTCCTCTAAAGTGCATAATCTCCTAAAAGCAAAATGTAAATAACATTTTATGCACAAAGTCCACTCAGTCCGGCTACTACTGCGCCACGGTTTTGTCCAGTCCAACTTTAATGTCCACGTGAAGTATCTCGGATGCATTTCAGGAGCTGAGCACATTGTTGGCATGTTTTTTGTGCTTCTACCATGGCTTCTACTCTGCTTATCAGCAACGGATCTCTGCAACCCGGTTTTGTTCGGTCATCTGTTTGGCTGCATATCCCACAAGGAGGACTTAATTTTGGGAAGCAACAGGGTACCCGTGGGGTCCTAAAAGTGTTGGTCTTAAATTTCATATTCCAAAAATAAGGCCTTAAGTCTTATTTCATTTACCAAGGTCTTAAATTTTCTCATCCTTTCGTAGGATTAAATTAATGGCGTAACGCCATGTAAATACTTTGTGTGTGAGACTTCATAACTAACTTCGTTTGGTGTGACTGTTATATGGCAGTACAGGTAACGTTAATGTTTACATCTGTCTGTACTGCTCTGGACTGTTGCATGAGCTCTGGCATACAGCTCTGGTGCGTATCAGTCAGTTAGGAAAGAAAACAAAACATCTCTGGCGTGCTACTATCAAGCAACACTAGCTCATCTCCTGAGAATGGGGAAAGTGTCTGAAATTCAGAAAGCCAGAGATATGGACAAGTGGCAGTTGAGGCTGAGGGCAGTGCTGCTGAGGTTGGCGCAACAAGTGGATTGGCTTGTGAGCCAGCACTGTGGCGAGCGCTAATGGAACAGCGGAGCTGGGAGACGCGCTGCAGGTTACTGGTCAGTTGTGTGTGTATAAGACAAGAACGGGGTCTGTGTGTTGGCATTACGCCACTGTAAAGCTATGTGAATGGAAACGTCAAACTAACCTTAACGCACATCAAACTTGCATCACCCAAACCGGAGCCCAACTTCTTATGCCCGCTGCCTTCAAGCCAATACTATATAATACTGTATTTCAAGCAGCCTTTACATGCAAATATAAAAGAATTTATCACTGAAGCATTGGCATATTGCATAAAATTACCTTATCTAGCCAAGGTGCAACTAATAGCAAACTCATGCCACACTGTTTTTGATTTCACACCTTAAGAGTTCTTGGTGCACAAATAATGTGTTCATTTCATAGTTGTCATTTACACTGGATACTTGTTAAATACTTTCTTAAAATGGTTTGCATCAAGAAATGTTAAATGACAATACTTTGAGACTTATTTGCACAATAAAAAAGAGATAAACAAATGTGCTTTGTCCAAAAAGTTTCTTAAGCTAAAAAAACAGTTTTATTTTGTTTGAATTGTCACATGAATCACTTTATAAAAGACAATTCTACCATAAATTGGTGCAGAAAATGTCTCCAGAATGCAGGAAATTAAGTGTGTTAATCCTAAAAAATTTTTAGGGGACCCCCATTTTTATATTTCAGCATTGAATATTTCATCAAATAATGTTAACACCCCTAATCTGAACCCTTATGTCCCCACCACTTTTCAACACAAAGTGATGTCCTTGATTCATTTTCTTATCAAAGTACAAACGCACCCCAAAAAGCTATAGTGTTAAATATGAATGTATTATAAAATATTCACGTAACTTTGCAAGTTCTCAGGCTTAAAATTCATACAGATTTTCCATTATAAGGCAGTGAAGTTGGTATTAATTCCATCTTTAAAGTCCTAAATTTAACTGAGAATCATGGGGGGTACCCCCAGTACATAATTGTGTAGCCCTATCTCAAACCATGGTGCCTCCCTGCTTCAGAACAAACTCGACAGGCACAAATGAAACAAATGAATTGCTCAGGGTTTCTAAAATTAGGAGCCACTTAATCTACCAGTTTCTAGTTTTGTCCTTCGTCAATTTTAAGTTTCAGTTTCATTAATGACAATCATTGTCCACTCCAACTACAGGAAGCAGAACTACTGTAATTTCTTAATAGCGATATAAAATAAGAATTTTAGTGTATTAAATATAAAAAATAAGCAAAGTAAACCTCCTATATTGTGTCATTTAAATTATGTATTTTAAAATGCAGTGCTTTATCATAAATGTACAAAACTACCTACAGTGTGTGAGAATCAGTACTTGACCCATTCAATGTTCTTGTGTACATTTGTATTAGTCTACATTACAATTGACTTGTCTAAGTACATATTTTAAAATTATTATACATCTGATCACATTTTATTTTTAGCCCTCTTCCTATTCCTTGTTTGCACACATTCTCAGGCAACAAAGCTGATTCTTATTAACCAATATGTTGATCGATTCAGCTGTGTTTCCCCACTGGATTTTGTGAGACTAAGGTGGCTGAACCTCCCCCAGAAAAGTTTAGACATTTTAAAGCTGGTTAAATGCATTAAACTGGTGCACTTGGAGCAAAAAAATTGCTGTGCTCTCAAACAATTTAATGTACATACACCTCAAACAATGTTGTTGCGTCAGATGCCAAAGTGAGTATGCGATCTTACAGCAGTGGGTAGCAGCACCGCAAAACACAATGTTGTCCGTTTTTGTTAATGTTGTGAAAAGTGTAAATATTTGGTTCATTTTGAAACTAGACAGTCTCTGTAATTAATGGGAAACTGTGGAATCAGCAAATGTCTAGTTCCTATCAAAATGGTGATTGATACTAATGGCAGCATGATATGAACATGCATTTTTGCACCCTTAAAATAATTATGCTCAAATACTTGTTTAATTACTACTTGTAATCTGTCTCAATGTTCGCATCCAGTTCTTGCCCTTAAAGCTAGAAATTTGTCACTTTTATGGAAGCAAGACTCACTAAAATTGTATTTTACTAAACCTCTGCTAAACATTATCACATCCTTTTTTTTATTTTTTTTATTTCAGCTGGGCTGATCAACACCTTCAGTGGCTACGGCCCTCTGACTGTGGAGTGGCCCGGTAAGGATGGAAAGCATCCCCGCTGTCCTCCCAAAGGTAATGTGGCCAAAGGTAACAACAAGCTGGTAGGCTATTTTTCTTCATGGTTTTAGGGTGGCACTGTGGTGAGCACATGGTATGCTGGTGAGTTTAGCTGTCTCTCAGCTGCTTTTAATGGTGATACTGGGGCATGGTGGAAGATGCCGGTAGAAGACAAAATCAAATACATTAGACATATGTGAAAGCTTATGTTTGGGTTTATTTAACTGAGCAAATTCTGTCAAGTGACCTGTTCATCTTAAAGCAGGTTTCACGGCAAATCTCCGTAGTTTGAGACTTTTGTTTGGCATGCGCACAATTTTACGACTGGACCATTCGGGCAGAGATCTGTCTAGGACTGCAACAAATTATATTCATAATTTATTGGAGACACTTTGCCTTGATTAAACAATCAAGGCAAAGTGTCTCCAATAACTAATCAAATCAGTTGTCTGTATTTTAAAATATTCTGTTTTTAGGCTATGTTTACCTGGTGTTTGAGAATGAAAAGTCTGTGAGGGCATTGCTCCATGCCTGCTCCCAGGACCCATTTCACCCCGAGGACAACCGAGAGTACTACTTCAAGATGTCCAGCCGCAGAATGCGATGCAAGGATGTGAGTAAAAACTAAGCAATTACGAACTGCAATCCGAAGCTTGGACTTGCAATTAATACTTTACCCCACGCCAAAATATTACAAATACCAATCAGTATAATGCAGTGTAATGTCATACTGTCGTAAACTACAAATTCAAATTGGCATGCATTGGTTTCATCAAAGGTTAGAAAATTTACTTCACTATGATTTTATTGCAGGGCTGCTGTATTGGCTTCCATTACTGTAGATGGGTGCAAAAAACTGGCAACTGGGTGTAAAATTTATAGAAATCTGACCTGGACTGAAAGCTGAGATTTAGACTCTGAGATTACATTAGAGCTGAAACATTCAAATATTCGACAGAAAATTAACCAGCAACAGTTTTGATAATTGTAGTAGTTTATCAAACACAAAGTGGAGTTGTTCCAAGCCAATCATTAGGATGGTATCTGGTCATTTTAATAGAATTGTCATGTTTTGACTAACTTTTATATTGTATTGCCTCCTTGAAATGTATTAACAGTTTTACTCTAAGGTGTCTGAGTGCTATTAAAGGCGCCCACAAATAAAATGTAGGTGGATGATAGTAACTAATTAATAATGATGGATCAGTATCTGCTTAAATAAATCATCTTGCTGATCTTTTCTTTTACGGTCAGTGCTATGACACCAGCAGGCCAGGCTGGACAGAACAGAGTTCTGACAGTGAGGTTGGTGCATGGCTTTGCTGAACTCCGATAGTGCTTATTAGAAAGATCAGTCTAGAAAACATCAGGCAGCAGTTTGTCCTGACACTAGAAGTCTATTGTGGGGTGTGCTCTCTGCAAGTTGGTGTCTGTACTCCTTAATCATAATACTGGTATTAGGGTTGGGCTGATAGACGATGCCATCGTCGATGGCTGACAGACATCACGACATTGAGCTGGCATCGTGATTGTAAAACCCCCGCCCCCCCCCCCCCCAGCAAAGAAATCACCACTACCCTTTGAAAGCATTATTGTCTAAGTATGCTTTGCACCTGCCTTGGAATTCTCTTCTCCGCACACTCCGACACACTCTCACACCTACACCTCGGGTAAACACCCCGGCTTGGCCTGCCTCTCTCACTCCCCCATCTGCTTCATTTACTCCATGAGCTGTGTGTTATAAAGTCGCTTAAGACTGAGAACTCGTCTTTTTTCCGTATATTTCCACCAGCGATCCATTATCACAGCAGCAGGTGACCCGCAAGTCGGCTTGTTAATGACAGACCAGGTAAAGCGGTGAACACAGGGTGTAAATGTTAATTTCAGTTTGATAGTCTGTGTAAAATAGCCACCACGACTTGTAACGTAAGTTAATAGTCCTTTATTTATTTTTATTTTTTTAACCGAGTGAAGTCTGTGCAAGAACACGTGCATGCCCATGCACCCGATGACGTCGTCCATCCCAATGTTTCATTGTAGACATTTCCCAACCCTAACTGGTATTGCACAATATCCTACACTCCAGTCTAGTTCTTAATTCAGTTCCTCGGGAAAATGAAATAAAGTGACGTAACATGCCAAGTGACTCCTGTGACTCTTTCCTGGTACAGGTGCAGGTGATCCCCTGGGTAATCTCAGACAGTAACTATGTGCGCTGTCCTGCCCAGCGTCTGGACCCCAGTAAGACTGTGTTTGTTGGTGCACTGCATGGAATGCTGAATGCTGAGGCACTGGCCAGCATCATGAACGATCTGTTTGGAGGAGTCATGTACGCTGGCATTGACACGGACAAGCACAAGTACCCAATAGGTGGTGATTTCAGTCTGTTGTTCAGGCTTTGTCTTTCAACATTTGTCTATCTGCTCTAATTTTTATAAATGAAATGTATTTACAGTCAAATGGAGGAAGCGTCAGATATCTGCATTTGGCAAAAACTTCATCGAAGACTGTTTCCTATGCATATACTGTGAAACTGAGTTTCTTGTTTTTCAGGCTCTGGACGTGTCACTTTTAACAATCAGCGCAGTTACCTGAAGGCTGTATGTGCAGCTTTTGTGGAGATCAAAACCCCCAAGTTTACAAAGAAGGTAAGATGCTCTGTAATGAGTGTTTGTACGGTCATCTGGTGTCTCTGCTGCTGTTCTGGATGGACTGTGTGCGCAAAACAAGAGGACAGGAATTTTGACTATCATAATAAATGACATGGATGAAGTTCAGGCTTTAACAAATTAACTGCAGCATTTCATTTTCTGTGGTTAATATCTTGAACTAAACCTAGCTAACTAGGCACAGCACAAACTTAGGTATTACATAATACCCTACATAGGACTGTTCACAAACGGCATTAGTTCATAGATTAAATAAGGAGTTAAGTGGTAATAGAATTTGCAAAACAGCTGCAGTTAGCAATGACCATCTCCTTCATTCTATGTCTAAAATAATTTAGAGAGATGAGGGATTGAAGTTTGAGCTTGGTCTGCACATCATTCAAGACCGGTAAATTGTTTCTGCACCTCACTTTCTGACATTTATGAACTGAGTAGCATGGTTTTACCTTTTCACTCAGGTCCAGATTGACCCCTACCTGGAAGACTCCATGTGTCAAGTTTGCCTTCGCCAACCTGGGCCTTTCTTCTGCAGAGACCAGGTTAGTGGAAACTGGTGTTGCAGCACAAGGAAGAATCTCTGCAAACCAAAATTGCCTATTTATTCTCCAGGCTAACATCTTGAAGAGAGCGAGAGGTCTGGTCTAGGCAAAATGATTTGTATTGCTCCTTTCAAAACACCATTAATATAAATTGCTTTGCCTAAGGCATAGAATCCAGAAAAGGGGTAAATAAAAATGCAAGTACAGTCAAGTGAAATAAAACAGTTATGGTTTAGTACACTTAAAATGCAGAGAAACTTTACATCTTGTTGCATCAAACCTAATGGTTTTTAAATGATTAACATTGTGGTTAAAGTACAGTTCTGGTTTATCATAATGTTGTACTTACTATTAAATGTTGTTCTGGGAACACAACATGGCTAAAAGTCACTGCAAGAAACACATGCAGTTAGACAAATATACAGTCTGGCAAAAGACGCTATGTTTTCCATATTTCAGCAATAAACTTGGTAAGTACAATGTTGCAACTGATAGAAACATTGGCCAATGCTACAAAATGACCTACATTGTAATAAACCAGAATTATCCTTGAAACTATTTTGAATAATTTTTACATGAATTGATCATTAAAATGGATCATCTGAAAGTATTTTACCAGCATCATTAGTTAAGGTAGCCTACAGTGCACTCAATCACTTGTCTGTCACACAGGCCTGCTTCAAGTACTACTGCCGCTCTTGCTGGCACTGGCAGCACTCCATGGACATCCTGAGCAACCACCGGCCCCTCATGCGCAACCAGAAGAACAGGGACTCCAGCTAGAGCGGATGGATCCAAACACTCTGAAGGGCCAGAGGAAGAGCCCCTCTCTACGGGGTGAGGCTGCCCGCCAAGGAGAGCACGTGTGCCAGACCTCCCTCAGTACGAGGGCACCATGGCACTCCACCAGGCACAGGGATATCACTGTAGAAAATGTTCACTTTTGCACTTGCTACATTTTTGCTGTTCACAGTGGCACTATGCACAGTGACCTTGTTGGGAGAGACAAGGGGCCCTTCACACTTATGCATTTTCCCAGACTTGTGGCCAGACAGAGATGGGAGTCAGCCTAAAGTTAAGAAGTGGACGAAAATGCCATTTCTTTTTTTTTTTCTTTTTTGTTTACATGTGTTGCATAGTGAAGAGCAATCACGCAAGTCTCATTGCCGTTCATTGGCAAATGCCATACAGTGCCTTTAAATTTTTATTTTTTCCCCCCCTCCCTCCCCTACCCCCAGTTGGCATCAGTTTTTCCTGTGCAAGCCAACTGGTGTTTCTTACTTTTGGGAGTTGAATGTTGGGCTTCATTTAACCAGTCGCATTTCAGACATTTTTACGCAGTTTTTTACTAATTTCTACACAAACGGTTTTAAGTCATAACATGAAAATTTTGAACCGAATTCTACCAGGCGGCTGTTTATGGGAGAACCCCCTTTTATTTTTTTTTCTCATACATGTTTTCTGTGGCTTTTCTTTTTAATTTGCCCTCCCAAATTTCAACTGAATGGGCACGAAATGTTGGAAATACTACTAACTTGCTTTGTTTGTCCAGTTATATTAAATGTATGTAACAGTAATACTGGATATGCTTCAACTGGCGATCTATCATTTCTCAAGCAACTGATGGACCCTGTTGAGTATAGTGAATGAACATTTGATCGTACATAGTTTGGTTTTTTGCACTTTTTAATTTGCACGTTTGGAGAGGTGGCAGTGGTTTTTAATCACTTTTTGTACATCAGCAGGGGGACATGCCTATGATTAGAACAGCTGCTTGTTTCCTGTTGAATGTAAGAACTTCCACTTAGCTGATGATAAATTGAATCTATCCAGAGCTTGAGTAGACCCCAGTAAATGACTACACGCTTTCTTATCCCATTTTTCTTCCTGTTCCAGTTGGACATCAATGCATAAGCTGTGTGCCAAAGACAAAGTGTCTTTTCTTTATCCATTAGGTTTGTCATGCTGAGCTTGTTGTCCCTTAGCCCAGCTGCTTTTTAGAGTTTTGAAAGTCTACCTCATTGTGGTCTGCCAAGTTTGCTGCTACTTACACTTGTGGAGTATGTTCAGATTGGGCACAATAAAGGTGTTTAAGCATTAATGGCAATGTCTGGACTCTTAATTAATAGGACTTTATTTGCTTAGTTTCCTGGTCTATAACAGCCACAGGTAATCAAGGCATCATTATGTTGAGGAATTGACTGGAATTTAGAAGCCTGCAACCCTGTGCTGGTCTGACAGATGGTGGACTGTAAACTCTAAAATCTGCTAGCTCTGCTTATTTTTACATGTCTATTTGAGTCATTGGGTTGACTACAAGTTGTCAATTTTTTATTTTGAGGAGTGTTATCAAATCGAAACACTGAAAGATATGTAGAATCCCAAACTTGGTTTACTCAGAGGTTGAAACACTGAAGCCTACACTTCTCTTTATGCAGCTCTGTAGTTCTTTAGATCTGTGGTAGATGTTCCCTGTACGATAAATACAGATCTTTCAAACTAGGCTTGACTATATTCTGCCATTACACAAGTGCTGTTACGCATTAGTTAGCAAGTTTAAAAACACAATTTCTAAAGGCAAATTTAAAACTGTAGTACTTTATTTCTTCAGGTCTTGTCTGAAGCAGAAATTTTTACAGCGGCACACTCCAATCATTTAAATTGTGCATTTAACTTGTGTAATTTAACAAAGCAAATGAAAATTAGCCAGTTGACTATTTTCTTATGTTTAAAATAATTGAAATTTAAGATGAAATGAAATGTGATTCTAAAGGCTTAAAATTTTGTGCTTGCAAATCCATTTACTAATCTATGTAACATCTGCCATTCCTATTTTTTGTTCACCTTAAAAGATGTGCCGAGTAAAACTTAAATGAAGTCTGACCTACAGAGCAGCATCAGGTAGAGCTTACAGAAAGTAAAGACAAAAGGAAATTAATGGTCAATTCTAAGTAGTGCATGAATACACTTAATTGCTTTATCAAAGCTTTTCACTTAAATTGATCAACCTGTCCTTTCTAATGCTAAGTCAGCATGTTAGTAAAAGCTTTTCATAGCCGTACTAAGTTGCCACATACTGTAAGTGCAACTGTAGTTCTAAAAACATGGTTTGGATTTCCTGAAGTTATTCCAGCAAGACCGTGAAAGAATTTCCCTGTGTTGGTCTAGCGTACATCAGTTTGACACTGCTGTGTGTGTATAATTGTAGAAATGATTCATCAGGACCATTCTTAATTATGCCTCTTTATTAAGACTGTTACACATGATTCTACAGTCCGCGTGGTGTTTTGAAGTTCATTCCAATAGTTGGCTGAGTGACTTGAAGGTTGGAAAGGCCACTGAAATCCTGGAAGAAAAAGAATTCATGACTTGGGTAACTATGCTGCCTGCATGGCCAGATTGTAGACATGCATGCCGTCCTGTCTAAAAATTATAGGGAAAGAAATATTCTGAGGTTTAAGTGCAGTCATCTGATATGCTTTTGTGTCATTTGTTGCAATATGCCCGTTACGTAATAATTTCAGATAAAAACATTTTTATCTGAATGTCACTCTGTAAAGCACTTTGGTCGACATTAGTCTGTTAATATGTTCAGTAAATGAATCTGCTTGACAAGTCAGAATATCTGCCCATGAGAAATGTCTACACAGATTATACCCAAGGAATTTTAATTCCTTGGGTATAATCTCCCCAGGTCAAGAACTAAGCTCATTATCTGTTACTAAAAAGCAGCAGAACCTTACACTCACCAGCATCTTGAGCATTTCCTTTGTGTCTGGATCCACCTCGATGAGCTCCTGGTCCAGAGCAGAAATCTGGAAAATGAGGAAATAAAAACTAGCTGTCTGAACGATCTCTTTTCTACCATGTTCAACCTTAATGCAGCAGCTGCTGAGAGCATCCTTAGAATAATTCATCATCAACCCACGCAATAAATTTGCTGTGTGAACAGACCTCTGGGACGTAGTTGTCCCTCCTCTCTCTCTCCTCCTCCTGCAGCTTGATGGAGATTCCTCTGACTGGACCTCGCTGGATACGTTTCATCAGGTGTGTCACATACCTGAGACGGGAACACACGGTTACCACCAGTATAAGGAAGTGGACAACAAACGACATTAAAAGTCTATAGTCCCTGTATAAATTATTAGGTGACTGATAATTTAGAGACACAATGTATTACAATGTTGATGACATTGACATTTACATTATCAAGTGAAAAATATCAAAATGAGCTGGTTACAGATTACCTATTGAGAAACACATTTTTCTCATTTCCATAAAAATATTAATTGATAAAATGCGTAACTGCAATTTTAACATTGAGTTGCAGCTGGAATTAACAGTAATGTTACTAAAACTAATTGTGAGTGGTTATACAACTGCTCTGAAGTTCATAACAAAAGATGTATATATGTTCATGTTCATGGCAATTGAGAGAATCAAAAACAGATATTCCATTGCAACATCAATATGAATCATAGGAAAATAAATCAACTTGGCATCAACAATCACTCTGTGGTGTACCACAGTCTGCATGTACACACAAAACAGCTTGATTGAACTGAGTGTGCACACGACTGACCTCCGGCTGTCTAGAAAATGATACAGTGGTGGGCACTATAAGAACACTAATAAAACGCAAATAACTGCAGTACAACACCAAAAGCACAAATTAAATGTAGTTTCTCAACAAAGAGCCTCCATTCCGCCATTAAAGTGGAGTGAAACTTTTTATTTAGATAAACAGCTGCAGGGAAACTACAGCAGTCGTATCTCTGAGGGAATATGCTGACTTCTCTTGACTACAAACATATTAAGAGTTGTTTTGGAGAGTTCATTTGGAGGCTACACCAGAGAGAGAACGCCATCTAATTCTGAAAGCTGAAATACAAGTATGAATGTCTGATAGATAAATTGAGCACATTTTCCAATCAATCACTGTTTCCAGTTCACGCTGATCACATATACTGGTCATTACCAGAACGAGCATAACACCATTAACACACTGTAATATTAACACCAACACCAAACATCTTGCAGCTTCTAAATAATAAGCACGAGCATCAGTAACTAGGATGTTGTATATAGAACTCAATCTACATGGTGCAGCACAGATGCCAACAAAAAAGCATGCATGACATCTCTGGATCAACCATTACACATTCTAGTCATCTCCCAAAGTCCACATAAAACCGGGTCAAACAGAACCAGAATAGACTATTTATGTCTTTACCATCTAAAACAGAAAATAATTTCTCACCACTGTGAGGGAGGATAAATGGAGTCCTTTACTGAGAGTATTGACGAGTGTAATAATTGTCAGAAGTCCATAAACAATATATACTACATGTGCAACAAATACAACCCAAACCAGCAACATGCCTTAGTCGTGATTTCTACAAAGCCATTTTGTTACGAGATAATTCAACTGCAAATGTAAAAAAATATTTATCTTGCAGGATAATTAAGAGCATCTCTACTACTGTGACAATCGTACAAATTCTACCAGTTTATGAGCGTATCAACATGAACTTCATCTAAAACATGCCTTCAGGCGATTACTTACTGTGATAATCTAACTAGGATCCATATAAACCCCTCAGTGACACCATGTTCATTGCCATGCATCCTCTTGCTACAGGTACTCCAAAGTGTTTGTCAGATATTCCTTCATGCAATACCGACTCCTCTGTTGACCCCAGACCCCGTTGGCCTGTTTCAAGCTGCTGCTGCACTTTCCTGCAGATGCTGAAGAACACTTTCATGCCCCCATCAAATTTGAGGTGAACTTAAGAGGTCAGTCAAATCATAAACACCTGATAAAACTGCAAGCAGCAGCGCATATTTCTGCAGTACACACACTGGAAAAGGCAGCAAATTCCACCCAATTATTACCCAGCAATTTTGTTGCGCAGAGGCTTGCTGGGGATGATGGCGATCTCCTCGCACACCCTCTTGTTGGTGTGGAAGTCACTGCCCAGGCGGGTGTAGTATTTCTCAATGATGACCCTGGCGGCCTTCTTGACTGTCTTGGTCCTGACTCGCCCCTGAGGAGAAACCAAACAGAGTCACTGTCAGTTTCCATACAAATGACAAAAACAGTAATAAAACACACCACTGATAACCTGGAGGACATAACAGAATGGAGGAAAATTGCGTATGAACTTGTCTAGAGGGCATGTTAGTGGTCAAAGATGGGATAGTGGGATCAGAGATGCCTCCTTCCAATTAATTGGGGTTTTTTTGTGTCAAACCCCCTTTAGGCAGACATACATAAAGAGTGGAAATTGCCACTATAGCTACAGTAAATAATGCATTTCCTCACAACCTTGTGAAAACATGACTTCACTTGCAGAGGGCTGTTAACTTTAGGCTTGATAATCAAGGTGTCTGCACGTTTCCTCTCAACTCACATGCAAGTTTAAATCCCTTCTGAAGGTTAAACTAGAATGCTAATTAAAATGAATTTAATCACTGAATTTTAGATGATTAAAGCAGGCTTACTGGACCGTGACTTATTACAAAGAAGTCTGCATGACTGCTTTCTGACCAGAAAATCGTGGCACCAAAAAATTTAAATTAGTGTAATTAAAATTAAAAAATTTTAATTTTGTTTGTCAGGGTAATACCGGTTATAAGATCCTGAAATATCTGTTCTGGACTTATAACATTAGACAGGTTATCATACAAAACGTTGGTCCTCTAACGACGGTTTTAAAACAGTTTGGCGGCCAGTTAGAAAGTGACACTGCAACATCTAACGTTACACTGAAGAGCATCGAAACCCATTGTTTACAAATCTTTGTGCCGATTGTGTGCAAAGTGCTGCTTGTAGCCGCTTGGTGGGCAGACACACAATGAGGATTGAAATGGATTAAGTGGGCTGGTGAAGCGAAGTGTTCTCCGTGTACCCACCATGTTGACTCGGACCGGTGGAAGAGAAGCACCGGATGTTCATACAGGAAGTTTATAGTTCACAACCGCCGCTGCCGCGCACCCCCCGCGGCCAACACTGACCACTAGCGGCGGGAGGGGACAAGTGCAGCGAAGAAAGGCAACAAATAAACATAACTTGTGCAGTTTTTCTCGATTGCTTAACAC